ATCCCAACCTCCACTTTATTTGGCTATATTATTATTATTATTATTATTATTATTATTATTATTATTATTATTATTATTATTATTATATAGTTTATTGCTATAAACCAAACTCCCTGACTTCTATTTGTCCAAGTTAGCCAAAATTTCCTGGCCCAACCATGACCTAAATCTGGCACAGCTGGTTGCACAGACTAATGCCGCAGGTATAATGAATGTAACGTCTTTGGCCCAAATCTTGACCAAGTCCTAATAATTGGAGCTGATTCCGAGCCCAAATCGCCGCATTTCTGCATCCCCAAAACCCAGCCAAATTTGGATCTCTGGTTTCATAATATAACAGAGAGCGAATATATTCAGCTGCCATCAGGCCGACTTGGCAGGCTACCTGGGCTACTGTAGATTAATTCTTACATTGCCTTTTTCGATTAACTTCAGCGAAAATTAACAGAATGCCGCATCATGATAGTAGGGACCATCCATGGGAAGAAAAGTCTCCCTTTTTTGTAAATAAAGTGACATGACTCATTAATGTGATGAATGACCATACAATTCCCTAGGACTTTATCCCCCCCAACCCCCTTCAGGCCTCTTGTGGGCCATTCCGGGTGAAAGCCGAACATTTAAACGTGTGCCTGTAAGTGCTGAGGCAAGCAGGTCCACTGGCCAAATGGTTGCTCTTTTCAGCTATTGAAGCTCCCAAGGACCCATTTCACTGTTAACATCAAATCATTAAATTCACCCCATACTCAGTCACTTAGAGTTATAGAGAGATTGATAGAAAGACAAAGAGAGAGGGTAAAGTTAAAAGAAGAAAGGAAAAAAAGGTCATTGTCAGCTTTAAAGGCTAAATAGGCCACATTATAAGGTTGGAAATAAATGTTATCAAAACAGACAGTTCTCTCTGGTCTTAATTTCATCTTGTCGACCAAAAATGCAAATCACTAAGTGAAATTTTAGTTCATAAAGGAGGGGATCAATACAATCTGATTTGGCTAATGTGTCACTGTCAAAGCACAGGATTTGAGATTATTCTGCTGTATTAAAAATGTAATTGCATCTTCAGTCGTGTCTGAAAATCTCTGATAGCATCATACCTCGAACTTGTACGAATACACATTCAGAAGTAAGCTGGAAATTAAACCTGGCAGATTTTTAAGTGGTTCCAACAAGTTTGGTTATTCTATGCAAGCTTTTGTGACTCAGCAAAGTAAAAATAGTGAAATGTGTGTTCATATATAAAAAAAAAATTATAAAGGCAAACTATACACAGCAGATGGTGTAGTCCTTTAGATGTTCAGTCTCTCTGGGTAAAGGTAACCTTGATGTACACAAAATGTGTTCAGAGTTCAGCCATTGTATTATTTCATGCCACCTCAAGCAATTACAGTCTTCAGCTGTTTCTCTCAGTACACTGAGTACATTCGGTGTTAGAGGAAAACTCCTGCATCTGATGCATCCCACCCCGGGGTACAAAACAACTTGCACAATCTCTCCCGTCTATTGCAAGAAAATGTTTAACAATCTCTAATATATGTAATTTAAAAGAGTGGCCCAATACAAATCATATTTTCAGACTTACACAATGAAAATATGCAATTTCAGTACTTTCATGCATGCTTGTGCATGGGTATACTTGGACGGTGCTAAATGTTCACAGGTTCACACAAATCACTTCATACATCTAAATATTGCATCTGTGCATGTATTATATAACACACTGCCTAAGTACTGATTACTTGCAATTATGTCCAAAAGGAGACTGCTCGTACAGCAGAATCTATAATAACACAACCACTTTAAAGACACTTACAGAGGTGCTCTACCCTCACTACCACTGGGTGGCTGGACTTGGTTTCTATAGGAACTAAAGTGCAAAACAAGTAAAATAAGGGATACAGCTGCTGTGCTCACATGATAAGAAGGATAAAGCAAAACCAGTGGAAATCTATTAAGACTAATAAAGGTATACAGAGAGATGAGCCAAATGATCAGTCACTAAAAGAGTCAGACACTGACAGAAAGAACAAACTGTGTTTAAAAAAAAGATAGTTAGGAAAACAGCTCCACGTGGCACAGTGCACTCTAGGGGTGTTTGACTTCCCCACTTTCATTATTGAGCTCTGTAATCTTGATGTTCAAGCCAAGTGTAGAGATATCAGGTGGGCACCATCATGTTTGAACTAGTCTTACTTGGGTACAGTAAGAACTTACAGCTGCACTATGAGTTTGGAATGGCTACAGTACTCTGTGCTTCCAGAAAGAGGAAATAAATTACTTTATATCAGGTTGCCTCTTCTGTATTCAGATCTTGCACCTTCCACTGGCAATCGATTTCAAAATCAATCACCAGAACACTCAAAGACCAATTTCTTCTTCTGTATAGTGTCTGTATAGTATTTGCAGAATATGTGTACAGTATGTGTGGTCCTTTCTATTGGGGTGGTCATTTTAGATTATTTGTTTGATGAACTCTCAGCTCTTGAATCGTGTAACCTAAAAACACTGTGATTATCTAAAAGATTATGTGAAATGAACTTGCACTTAATAAGCAGCGTGCAGTCCTGTGCATACGGCTTATGCTTAATGTGTTTCTCTAGTAAATCATGGTGCCAACTCCAAATCTGTACACCATTCAGTTTTCCACTGTCAACCTTGTGCAAATACTTCTATTTCTTTATCAACAAAAATACACGTCATTTTTGTCATGGAACCTGTGAATGACTGTGTCTTTGTATTCATCTATTTGTGCATGTGTGCATGTACTTAAAGTGTGGGCAAGTGTGTGTGTCTGTGTGTGTGTACTGTGAAGTTTTGAGAAGAAAAAAGTTGAAGCACCAGTCAGATGCCTCCCTCGAAGGGCCGGCTGTTTTGGCAAGCGCCCTACTCACCCGCGTACATGGCATGAATAGAACAGAAAGCAAATGTGTCCCTCCTTATGGTAGGTCAGACTACAAGGCAGTCCAGATTTTGCAGAGAGTTTATTACAGGGCTGAATCAAAAACTGACTGAATTTCAACACAGTGCATATGAATGCTTTTGCCTTCAAAGGGCCTGATTTCATTATTCTACTGGTGTTTAAACAATGGAGGCTGTCCTTGAACAGTCCAACGTGAAGGGCAGTCCTGGTTTTTAAGTGGGTCCTCGAGTTTCCAGCCATGTTTTGTGTAACAGAGTAAAGCACCACAGACGACTGGGTTGGAACTAATGGGTGTTATGGGCTTAATAAAATCCTAACAAGCCAATCCTGTGAAAAATATCAACCAAAATCAACCATTAATCATTTCTCGCTGACCTAGCAATAAGACATAACTAGATATACATTCAAATTATACTTTCCTTGTATAGTTTTGAAGCAATCCCAGTGAAACTTGAGCATTGCATGGTCAACCTTTGTATGCTAAAACAGGAGTCAAAGCTTTTTTTCCAACTCACATGACTTGTACCCCTATCTACACCCACTTGCATACCACTCCACGGGATATTTATCTGTGGAGTTCGTGATCAGTCATCAGTTTGTGAAGAAACTCCCAATTAAATTAAAACAAGCGTTAGACAACTTTGTATACCTCAAATGCAGAACATTTTTAGGTAAACTGCCTAAAGGAACATACCATATCGTGTTTTTCATGAGTTTTACTGCAAGCTTTGCGAGTTTCATTACCACCATAGTTTCTCCAACACATTTGGAAGGCAAGTGGT